TTACCTCTGCATCATGAGTGCTAGGGTTAAAGGTATGCACCACCACCCTGGGCCCTGGTGGTTTTATAGCATTACTGGGATAGGAATTGAGGCTCTGTACCAGGTCTCCTCATCTGGAGTGGGGTAAGGATCCTTTGGGAGAGGTCTTTTTTCATGGGGACGTGTCATCACCAGAAAAGAACAAATATTTGTTTAATGAATGAGTGAAAAAAAGAACAAGCTTGCTTATTTTGTTTTGAGACAGGGTCTTGCTATAGAGCTCTGGCTTGCCTGAAATTCACCATGTAGACCACACTGGCCTTGAACTTCCAGCCTGTCTTGCTTTCTGCCTTTCATGTGCTGGAATTGCAGATGAGACCAACCATACATAGCACAAGACCAAATACTTTTTAATTTTGCCTCCAACTCCAAGTCGATGATAGAAACTTTGATACAGGTTCATGATGTCAAATTCTGACTTATGTGGTTCATATTTTTGAACTATTTGTTATCCATTTATTCTCACTGCTAGTTCTCACAGAAGACTGTGTGTATGGAGGGAGTGGAAAAAGAGCATGAGTGAAGAAAATGTGGCAGGGTTAATGGCTCTGGTACTGGCAATAACGACATTACATTTTGGTGGAAATTTGAATTGTAATTTCTTTAGAAGTTTTTACATTCAGTTTGCAAAATATCTCTGTGGTGCGAATGTCATCACCTTTTTCAGATAAACAGTTGAAAAGAGTCTCTTCTAATATCACTAAAAGTGTATAAAATAGCCTTGATCCAAGCTCAGGTCTCATGTCAAAGTTCATGTTTAGTCTATGGCTTCTGGCTGACTCTATAATGGGTCACTACCCCTCCAGACCTTAGTCTCATGTTTAGAAGGTCCTTGGGGGAACCTCTTAGTCACCTCCAAATTTTATGAGATCTTTATTGTCTATTTAAAAAATTGCTATCACTTTGAATTGCTATCACTACTAAAGTAGTTAAGTTTGTTTTGAGACAAAGTCTTACTATGTAGTCCTGGGTGACCTTGAACTCCTGCCTCTACCTCCTGAATCTTGGGATGGTTTGTAGGGTGTTAAGAACCAAGCCTAGGGCTTTGTCCATGCTGGGTATTATTTTTTCTTAATGCCACTAGGTTTTCCTTTGAATATACTTGGGAAAAAAAAAAAGAAATGAAAAGAATACAGTAACTTTTTTTTTTTTTGAAGCTATGTGGCACAAAATAAAGATGAATCTGTAGGTTGGAGAGATGGCTTGGTGGTTAAGACTTTGTGCTACTGTTGCAGAGGATCTGAGTTTGGTTCCCAGTACCCAAGTCAGACAGTTTACAACTTCTTACAGCTCCAGGGAAATCCAATACCTTCATCTAGACTCTACAGGCACCTATACTCACATGCCCAGACTCACACAGACACATAGTTTAAAAGCAATAAAAATACATTTTAAAGTTGGGCCTGGAGAGATGTCTCAGTGGTTAAGATCACTGTTGCTTTTGCATAGAACCACAGTAGTTCAATTCCCAGCTTCCATATAGTGGCTCACCACCATCAGTAACTCCAGTTCCAGAGGATCCAACACCCTCTTCTGACCTCCAAAGACACCAGTGGTGAACAGACATATATGCCAACAAAACACTCATACACATAAAATTAAAACAAATATAAATTTTAAATATACATAAATTTGCAAATAAAAAACAAAATAAAAAAATCTGGGCAACTGAGATGGCTCAGTGGGTGGTGGCACCTTCTTCTAAATATGATGACATATTCTGTACTCAGAACCCACTCGGCAGAAGGAAACTCCTGAAAGTTGTCCTCTGACCCCTACATGCACACCAAGGCACATATGCTGTTACACTTACCCCCTACACACACACTAAAAATAATAAAATGAAATAACAATTTAAAAGTTAATAGTCTGATCACAGTGTCTGTAGTGCCAGAGGCGGAGGCCATATTGTGAGAACTATATGAAATGTTGGGCCACCAAGTAACTAAAAGCACCTTTGGGAAAATACAAGACTAGGCCTGTTCTTCAGCTTATTAATTCCTCATTTGTGGCCAGGCGGTGGTGGCACATGCCTTTAATCCCAGCACTCAGGAGGCAGAGGCAGACGGATCTCTGTGAGTTCCAGACTGGCCTGGTCTACAGATTTGAGTGCCAGGATAAGCTCCAAAGCTACACAGAGAAACCCTGTCTCAAGAAAAAAAAAATGTGTTATTCATACAACTTTGATTAAATAAAATGATGAAGTTGCTGCTGTGCAACAGAGCAAACAGTGTTTCTTATTCACAGGGCATTTTTGTCTCATACTTTTACTTGTGGCTATCTAGATGTCAGCTACTTTTTTTTTTATGACAAATGAAAGAACTTTTCACAAAACAAAAATTAGCATTTGGGAGTCTATTTCTAAATTTTATTTTACTAAAAGGAATCTACACAGACCCCCCCCATACACACACACCAAAAAGAAAGACAAGAAGAAGAAATGAAAACATGCAAAATTGTTTTGTGCACACCTATAACAATTCTATTCCACTTCAGAAAGGTTACCAAAAAGAAAGGAAAAAGACCCAGAGCAAGAATACTTGGGTTGAAAAGTTCACATTACAAAGACTAGATTGGTAATGCAAACACTGCCAATACAAGTAATTCTACTGAAACAGGTGAGTGTTTATCAGTACATTAGGTTGATGCCAACAATAAGAAGACAAGACAAACTGTATTTCTATGAACCAGTAAAAACCATTTGCTGTCACAAGAAAGCCATGACGTCAACCGGAACGCCACACAGTCTTAATCTTACCAATATGCAGGTTTGCCTTGTGTACCATTCTTGAAACTAGCTCCTTTTCCTGCTACGTTTAAATTGGTTTTTGGCAGTGCTCGGGACAAAAGCTAGAGCATCCTGAATGCTAGGAAAATTCTGTACTACTGGATTACACCTAGCCCCTGAAATGATTTGTTTTTGAAAAACAAGAGTCCTTCATGAATATACATGACTATTAAATATTAAAAAAAAACCACTTAATATAAAATGATAGTGATGCTTTCCTTTGGGATAGTTTGCATTTCTTCTTAAAGAGCCTGCAGAAAATGACAAAATACACAAGAGTGGTGTCTGTGCACATGCATAAAAAAACTTTAAAAAGAGATTTGGGAAACATAATGGTTGGGATTTTTTTTATTTCCCTTCCTCGAGACCAGTTCCTGACCATTTAATAGATACTTTTTCAAAAATTCAACTGCTTAGAATCTTTCTGTTTAGTCAGCAAGCTGCTTGTCCCTGTATATTTGAACTTTCCAAAAACAACAGGCTGCACAAGGCCCTGTTCTGTATCTCTGAACAAATCTCCAGGCTGTCCCAGCAGAATCTGCTCAGCCTGGAGCTTTGCATCAAAAGTAATGAAGGGCTGTTTGGTAGGAGCCCTGTTCCGACATTCATTCGCGCTGCCAGAAGGGGATTGATGATTCCATACTTAGAAAAAGCTTCCTCTTAGGCTATGTCTGACTGGGAGAGACCCTTAAGTAGGATGACATTTACCAGGAAGCCTTAGTTCTCAAAAGAAAAACAGTTTGAATACATTCCTATAAAGCATTTCAAATGTGTAAAGAGGAGGGGAAAAAAAAATCCAAAACAGGAGCAAAGAGAGGGGTCAGTGAGTGAGTGAGTGCCTAAACACTGCTCCCGTGAGAAACACGTCCACACAGTGCTTCAATGCCATTGCCAATGAACATCCTTCCTAACAGTGCTTCCTAGAAGGAAAAGTGACCTTGCCATCTCCAAACCCAGAAAGGAAGCCACTCTCTGTACTTCTACCTAGCTCCATGTATCTGTAAAGGACTCTGAGGGCCAGGTCTATTTCAACAAATATTTTAAATCCACTCAGCTTTTTTCAAAATATTGGCCCAAATGCCACATGTACCTTTTCCCCTCCTTGCAGCAGTCAGCATGATTGCATAAGTGGTGTGTTGCATTTAAAGGAACAAGCAAAGAGCATGATGGGACCTGAAGATGGGCACCCTGCAGCCCATGCTGAGGTTGGCAGAAAGCAAGATCCTCTCACACAGTTGGGTGTGAGAGCCTGTTCTACTGTCCTGTGTTTGACACCATCTCTTTTCTTTCCACTGAGCCTGTCTGAGGGTGGGGATGAGGAAGACATATTTCACCCCCACCCACAACATGAGGAGTAGTGGGTGGGGGGTGAAATACTTGCACAAAACAGTCATGCTCAGGACCCTCTTCAAGCAAAACAAAAGCTAAACTCGACCCAGAGTCTTCTGACACATCATAAAGCAAACACGGGAGAAACCCAATTTCACTTTCCCATGACAATTCAAAAAGGAGCAAAGCCGTCCAGAGACATCAGATGTTTCAGACCGAGAGGGGGAGATGTAGAGAGAGAGAGCTCATCTTTTCTCAGTTGTCTATGGCACTAGCCAAAGACCTTTTGTGAGCCTCTGCATTTGCTCTGTGGTGGCCTGACATCGCTTCAGACGGCTGGACTCCCCTTACAGGTTTCCAGTTTGTTCAACATCTGAAGTCTGATGTGCAGAGGAAACTCTGTGATGCTGATGGCACGACTCTTCCTTTTTTGGTGAAGAAGGCCCAATGGGTCTTAGCTAAGGAGCTCTCAGTGCGGGCTCTAAAAATAACCCCACAGCAAATACTATTTGGCACATCATTGTGTTTGCCAAGGAGCTCTCCAGAACTCTGCTGTGAGCTTTGGATTCTCCATAACTGCCCTGAGCTCTGTCCCTACACGAGTGACAGTGATGAATGAGGAGGTGTATCACTTTTGAACATTGCTTTTTGTTTTTAACTTTTGATTTCTTGGAATTCTTTCCCAAATGTCTGGAGTGCATTCCAGCCGTGGATTAATTACTAACTAGGTTTAGAATCTTCTTTTGGCTTCTAGTCTGAACTACGCAAATACACAATCTGTGTGTACAAGAAAAAACTAAAATTAGACTTCAAAAGGCTCAATCATTTCTCATCCCCCTTCCCCCCGCCAGAAGAAACATCAGCTTCTTTGACTCCTTCATTGTCATAGCAGGAGCAGCCTGGGCCGGGCCCTCACCAGCCACTTTGGAGCCCCTACACGTTGATGGCATGCGCATGCTTTTTGCACAGCGGTTTGTCTTTCTTGGAGTAGAATGGCTGCCCCTCCAGATTCACATGGCAGACCTGGGAGGGAAAACAGAGTGGTGTCAGATGGGATCTTGCAGCAGGGAGGACAAGAGCAAAATATTTCAGACTAGCACAACGTGTCAGACATGCTCCTTGTCCCAGCACTTTAGAGGCTGGTGCAGAAGGGTCGTCGTGAATTCAGGGACTAAACTGGGCTATATAGGGGGGAAAGTCACCCTTTTAGAAAAATGCACTGTTGGACTGAGCTAAGGGGAGAAGCAGCCTGTTTTTCTGCCCCCTGCTACAAAGTCTTCATGACTAAACAGAATATGTAGGTTGAACCATATAACATGAAGACTTCCAGGGGTTGAGGATATAGCCAGTTGCTTGGCAGTCATGCCTAAAGCCCTGGCTTTGATTCCCAGAACCACATGACCAGGCTTGATGAGCATGCCTGTAATCTTAATGCTAGGGAATCCTAACACTAGGGATGTGGTAGGAGAGTCAAAAAGGTCAAGGTCATTTTAGCTGCTTGAAACTGTCTATAAAGATATAAATAAGTAACAAATCAAGATAAAGACTTCTGAAAAGCATGGACTCTAATTAAATCTAGTGGAATAGAGAATATATATGTGATTAAAAAAATAACTAATTCATGCTATGTTGTGGGTAGCAGTCCTGAGTAACTATATATTGTTGATATGAGCAGAGGCAAGTAAAGGACCACAATGACTCAGATCAATAGGAATAGCAAACACTTCCCCTATTCAGGCCCAAGGAAATGACAAAGCATTCTCCTGGTCTGTTTGCAGATGTTGATTGTGATGGTTTGGATGAAAATTGCCCTGTGGACCTATAGGGAGGGACATTATTAGGAGGTATGGGCTTGAAGTGTGACCTTGTTGGAGGAAGTGTATCATTAGGGGTAGGCTTTGAGGTTTCAGATGGTCAAGCCAGACCCAGTGGCTCTCTCTTCCTGCTGCCTACTGATCCAAATGTAGAATTCTCAGCTACCTCTCCAGCACTGTCTCTGGCTGTATATGCTTCCGTGCTTCCCACCATGATGGTAAAAGACTAATTCTTTGAACTATAAGTCACCTCAATTAAATGTTTTCCTGTATAAAAGTGTCTGTGGTCATGGTGTCTCTTCACAAAAAAAGAAACTAAGACATGTAGGAAATGTGGACCATAGCTTCCTTCTCCAGGATTTTTACAACCTGAGACTGTTCCCCTATAGCTATTACCTAAACTTGTCTCCTTGTTTAGCTGGCCTCCTCAATTCAGATGTGGAAAATAAACTTAGTTTCCAAGCTGCTGCTGGAGCCTCTCCAACAGAGAACATGATCCGCCCAATCCTAGCTTTTTTTAATACGTGTATGCATCTGTTGTGTCTTCATTCTGATGCCCCAGTTAGGGCAATCTCTTAGCCATGCAAAGTTGCAGGACTATCCAAAGTATATATAGAATCAGTACAAGTTAACAAGTCAATTCCCACAGAAGGAATTAACATTTAAGTAAATTCTATTAGTAAACTAAGAAAACATCAAAGATTGTTCTCACTAAATAATCCAGAGGAGAAATAAAGATCTTTCCTAGCTACCATACCTATTAACATAACAAAATAGGTAAGATACAAACCTTCAAGGTCTTGTCACCCTTAATATTTTATGAGAGTAGCCAAAAAAATTAAAGAAAAAAGTACCCAATTAAAAAATGAGCAGTGCAGGGAAGGAGGGAGAGGGAACTGGGATCGATATGTAAAATAAAAAAATAAATTAATATTAAAAAATGAGCAGTGCCCAAAGGGAATTATTTATGTAATACTAGGGACATACTAATGAAATTTCTTTCAGAAGAAAGATAATTGAATACATTTTTGTGATATAACTTCCAATGGGATACTACCATGTGTTATGGAATATTACTTTAGGCAAGGATGTGTGATGTTTGCTTATGCTGCATTTGTTTAACTATGTAAAGATGTGTTGCTGTGTCACCTAAGGCACCTGAATGGCAATAGCTAAGCAGAAGAGGGATAGGCCAGAAAGAAAAGAAGATAAGTAAAGCCTGGGGCCAGTCAGCCAGTTAGACAGAATAGGACATACAGAAAGAAAAGGTAAAAAGCCCTGGAGCAAAATGTAGATGAAGAGCAACCATTAACCTATAAAACCTAGCCAGAAACAAGCATAAGCTAAGGTTGAGCATTCATAACTAACAAGAAGTCTTTGTGTCATGATTGGTGGCCAAAATAAGAAAACCTGGTACAACAATGGGAAAAAGACCAATCAAACATGGAAAAGTGCATTCAGGAAAATATTATATGTAAAAATCAAAGTCATATGTCCCCATGATAAAGACACATGAGAGTAGTTTGAGGCTGGAGACATTCTGGAAAGAAGGGGATGAATTCATTTTTGCTGAGGTCACTGTGGTTCCAGTGGAATGGCCTCATTTAATTTCACAGTTCAAAAATTGGGATTCAGAGAACCCAAATATTTTGCTTACGTCACAGACCTATTAAACTATACCGCTGGGAATCATGTTCAAGCCTGTAAGAACCCATTTCCATGGTACTTGTTCCTGAAATTCCACTGCAAAATAGGATGTATTTATTTGAAATGGTTCTGAGCTCCGGGCTTTGCAGAGGTTGTGAGGTGTTAGGTTACCAATATGTGGACCAGACCCCAAGTGGGCAAAATATTAACATGTGAGCGTTGTCTTGGAAGTCATTCTGGCTGGGATGGGCTCCACTACAGAGGGCACTGAGCATCCCTACTGGGAAGCAGAATTGGAAGCTGTATCCTGACCTCAAAATAAGCCTGTTGTCAATGTAACAGAGTCTAGGATCACCTGTGAGGGATCGTCTTGATTACATGAAGTGATGTGGGAAGACCCATCTTAACTGTGGGTGAAACCATTCCTCAGGTAGGGCCCCTCTGAGTGGATAAAATGGAGAAAGTGACCTAAGCAACAGTAGCAAGCATGCATCCATTGCTCTCTTCTGACTCTAACCAGCTGCTTCCAGCACCTGCTGCCTTGATTTCCTGGTCATGATGGACGGTGTCATGAGCTAAAATAAAACCTTTTCTCTATTGAGTTGTTTTATCAGAATATTTTATCCCAGCAGCAGGAAGGAGACTAAGATGAGTCCTCATATACAGGTAGTCATAGAGTGGACATGATTTTCCCCTGAGTTGAGCTTGAGTTACATTCAATGAAGGTTGGAAAGGGACATCATGATGGCCCAGTTGGGAAGTTATACTTGGAATTATATGGGCTTCTAATGGTTCATAGAAGCCAACGGACTAAAAATTACCTGGAAACACCCCAGGTAGTTACAGTGATGCTGAATGCAACCAGGATTTGGAGGTGGTTTGTCCCCTAAGGGCTCATGTGTTAGAAGTTTACCCACACCTTAGCCTTCTAGCCTTTATTTTCTATGCTTTGGATTTGGGAGGTCTCCAAATTGCTCATAACTATTAGCTGATTTTCCTGTAAAGATTCTAGATACCATAAAAGTGGATAGAGACTTGCTTCCAAATTCCAGGAATAATTTGCAAACTGAATTCCTCTCCAGTGAGCTAAAAGCACTTCTCTGCAAGCCTGAGCATCTGAGTTCAATCCCTATAATCCATGTGGATATAGAAGGAGAGAACTGACTGCACAGTCTTCCTCTGACTTCCACACTCCAGCCATGGCACCAGAGGTCCCACACTCACTCACACACATCATTCATACACAGACACTTAACACAATACTGATACAGTTTTAACATTTTTTTTAAAATATACTTTCACAATACTGAAGTTTACAAAAGAAAAATATGTGGAAGATAGAGAGATGGTTCATCAATTAAGAGTACTCCCTGCTCTTGCAGAGAACCAGAGTATGGTTCCTAGCACTCACATCAGGCAGCTCACAACCACCTATAACTCCAGCTCAAGAAGCTCTGAGTCCTTCTTTTGCCTCTGCAGACACCTGAATTTGCACACACACACGTGCACACACACATACACACACACACACACACACATAGAGTGGCATACATATAAATTTAAAATAATAAAAATTACACACATATATGCACATATAGACATATATGTGCATATATAAAAACATATATATATCTTATAAGTGCACGCGCACACACACACACATATGTATGTATGAATGTGGATGAACCAGGAGGCTGGATAGTGCACACTTATAGTTCCAGCCCTTCCTTGGAAGGTATAAGCTGGGAAGTAAGTAATTTTTCAGTTTATTTCAATTTATTGGCTTCCATGGACAAATACTGAGTTCAAGAGACCTGCCTGAACTACATAAGACCTTGTCTCTAAATAAATAAATAGATTTAACAATGCTCTATATCCCATGATTTAACTGATAAAGAAACAGTGCAACCATAAAAGACCTACTCTGACTCTTTCTTATTGGTTGCTTTGGTTGGCTGGTTGGTTTATTTGATTTGTTTTGGTGTGTGAAAGTTAAAAACCATCATATGAAAACATATGCTTATTAAAAACGATTTGGAAGCTGGGCATGTTATGGCACAAACTTATAATTCCATTACTTGGGAGGCTGAGAAAGGAGGATTACTTCAAGTTCGGCCAAAGCTATGTAGTGAGACTTTTTGCAAATATAAACAAAGGGATTTAGAGGCAGGGTTGATGGTGCATGCTTGCACACCCAGAACTCAAGAAGCTGTTAGGAACTTAAGCCTATCCTGGGCTACAAAATAGACAAACAAACAAGGAAGAGATTTGGAAATGTAAAATGACAGAAAGAAGATCCTTGAGAAGAAGGAGGAAGGGGAGAAGGATGAAGAGAAGGAGGAGAAATGTCTAACTTGGGAATTTGGTAAATGGCAAATCTCTTGTCTGACACATACAGAGTTCAGGGTCAATCAGCACTGAGAAAGGGAGGGAGGAGGGAAGGAGGAGATAGGCCTTAAAGCTTTCCAACCTAAAGGTTTCTTCCCAATACTAGAACCGTGTTCTACCTCACTGTTTCCACAGAGCAGTGAGTACCACGTGGGGCTGGCTCAAGAGGAAGACTCAATGATCTCCATGTCACTTTCCAAGGGACAAGATCATCTCTTTTTTTTTTTTTTTTGGCAAATCAGCTAGGCATTGCTATGGGTCTCTCACCCTTGGCTGGTCTTTATTCTCGGAACTGTCCTCTACCCCAAAACTTTACTTCTTCCTGCTTCTATTCTAGAACTTCTATTCTAGCCTCCTTGATGACCTCTGCCACAATTCCCTATGCATGCAGCACAGCCCCCCTCTCCACCCTCCGTGCTTCTTCCTGAACCTTCTCCAGGTCTCTTGGATCCTTCTAGACACTGGGTATCCAAGCTTGTAATCAGTCAAAGCTGAAGCTTGAAAGAGTCAAGTCTTCTATGCTCCACCTGGCTGAGCCCCAGCTATGCAAGAGGCCACCCTATAGGCAGACAGTTACACACGGTCCCTTTTGGGGAGAAGCCCTGACATATTTAAGGAACTTTTAAAAGCAACTAAACAATCTGTTCAAAGAATGTTAGAAGTGGTAAGGATTTGAATCCTGTGCCTTAAAATTTATATACAGAGATCCCAGTACTCAGGAGGCAGAGGCAGGTGGATCTCTGAGTTCAGGGCCAACCTGGTCTACAGAGTGAGTTCCAGGACAGCCAGGGCTACACAGAGAAACCCTGTCTCAAAAAAAAAAAAAAAAAAAAAAAAAGTCATACTGGAGGAAGATAGCCTTTGCCCTTTGCTCCAGCATGACTTTTAAGAGAGGAGAGGAGATGCCTATGGAAACAGATATGTATACACAGAGGATAACCCATGTGAAAATATAGATACAACTTGGGAGGTAGAGATAGGAGGCTCAGAAGCTCAAAGCCATGGGGCTTAATTCTATCACTTGAGAGGCAGAGGAAGGTGGATCTCTGTGAGTTCCAGGACAGCCTGGTCTACATAGTGACTTTCACGACAGCCAGGGTTAGTAGTTAGACACTATGAAAAAACAACAATGTTGGCTAGAGACATAAACACACACACGCACACACACGCACACACGGTGCAAGGGGCTGTAACAATGGAAGTAAAGACTAGAACACTTAAAACTAACCAGGGAATGAAAACATGGCCAGCAACCGGAAGTAGGAGAGAGTGTGGTTGTCTGTCAGCACTTTGAGTTTTGATTTCTATCTTACTGTCCTTGTAAGAGGATATATTTCTGCTGTATCTGTACTATACCTTAGGAAATTAATATACAGTTCAGTACAGAACTCAGAATATATAACAGTGAACTTGATGCCTAGGATTGTCCTCCATCCTAAATCCCTAAAGGATTATTCAGGCTTAAACAGATCAGATACTTCTTTATCTATCTATCTATCTATCTATCTATCTATCTATCTATCTATCTATCTATCTATCTGTCCATCCATCCATCCTCCAGGGCTTCCTATATCCAAAGCTGGTCTTAAGTTCACTGTTACCTGGGAATGACCTTGAACTTCTGGTCCTCCTGCCTCCATCTCCCAAGTGCTGAGATTGTATGTGTATGGTACCACAGTTGGATTATATGAAGCCTGAGTTCGAACCTGGGGCTTCATACATGTTAGGTAAAGAGTCTACCAACTGTGCTACATCCCCAGCCCCTAAACAGAACAGTTTTGTTATACATACCCCACATTTACTTTGAGTAACTCTAGTCCTTAAAATTCATTCATTTTCCTAAACAAAGTTAAGCCTGTTAGACTGACATTACAGAGATTTATTACGGGTGAACATTTCCTGGTTTCCAACTCAAATCTGAATAGTGGCAGCAGAGTTTCACAATCTCATCTCAGCTGAAAGCCCTGTAAACGGAAGGCCAGTCTCCTATGCAGATGCCCTGCTGATTCAGCTAACTGCACACAGTTAATAGTTAATCTCAGCCTTCTCTGTCGGCCCCTGTGCATCAAGAACAGGACCACTTAGGAAAGGAAAGTGATACTCAGCCTGCTTTCTAAAGGTTCTACCAAGAGAAACCTTATCTCAGTTTTTCAGAGGCCTAGTCAATAAGCCCAGGACTGGGGTTCATGGTGAAGGCTTCACCCCACTTCATAACCAAAGCAGCATATAACCTGGGGAAGCCACCTGCTTCTCTAGGCCATTGTTTGCTGCCCTCACCTATTGCTGGTAAGACAAATGCCGGTTCTCCAAACCAACCCATGGGTACTTTGCTGCTATTGACCTATAGTCATTGGTAATACAGCTTTCTTCACCCGTGGCATATCAAGACATGGCATTGGCAAACTTTAACCATTATGGTACCAGGGTACCACAGCTGTTTCCTTGTGTGTCAAGAGGTTGGCCAACTAGACTGCACTTTGTCCCTTCTATCCCCTGCTCAGATAGTTGGAACTCTAGGCTAGAAACGTACCGCACAAATGAAGCAGGTGTCATGCCAGGTGTGCCCCAGGGCCTCAATAAACTTGTCACCAGCTTCCACAGGAAAATCACATCCATGACACTTGGTGCTGAACAGATTGATGTAGTCTGAAACAAAAGTCAAAGTGAGGCAGGCAAAAAGAACAAGCGGCCACACAGACTCAGGACCAAGACAGCACCACATCAGTGGGCTGGGGGAATGGACTTTGACATCTCACAAACAAAATACTCATGAGATTGATTTTATTTTCTACCCTTTTAGTAATTTGTACAAATGTTGTACAGACTCAGCCTTGGACTTAATTATCATCCTATGTTAGTTTGATCTGAAAATTCTTTCTGGAATTGTCATGAACTTTCTTAAGAGTGATTGTTTCTTTTCTCTCTGTCTCCTCTGATAGTCCGAAGAGGTCAACCCCCAAACAGAAATTTTAAAATTAGTCCTCATTGCCCAGTCACTAGACTTATTTTGGAAGGATAAGGGTCTTGTCTTTTCTTACAGACTTTATTTAGTTTTAGTTGTGTATGTATACATGTGTGAGTCCGGGTGTCTCCAGAGCATCCTATGGAACTGGAGTTAAAGCACTATGTGGATGCTAGGAACAGAACTTGGGTGCCCTTAGCAGTAAGTATAGGCTTCCCTCTTGAGATAGGGTTCTCTGTGTAGCCCTGGCTGTACTGGAACTTGTTCTGTAGACCAGGCTGACCTCAAATTCACAGGGATCTGCCTGCCTCCAGGCATGTGCCACCACAACCTGGCCAGTTTGTGCTCTGAACTGTTGAGCTTCTCTCTCCAGGCCCAGAGTCTTTAAGGATTTTGTAGTTGTCGCTTTAAGATTTATTTTTTATTGTTAATTATATGTACATGAGGGCAGATACCCATAGACGCCATAAGAAGGTGTAGGGTCCCCAAGAACTAGAGTTAGAGACAATTGTGAGCTGTCTGACATGGGTGCTGTGAAATGAACCTGGGCTCTCTGTAAGAACTGCATGTTGCTCCAAAGCAATACAGAGAAACCCTGCCTCGAAAAACCAAAAAAAAAAAAAAAAAAAAAAAAAAAAAAAAAAAGAAAGAAAGAAAAAAAGAAAAGAAAAAGCATGTGGTTTTAACCACTCTGCTGCCCATCTTTACGACTCTAGTAATTTTAGAATGGCATTTGCTTGACCATTCTTCTATCACTGAACATTCATGTTGACAACAAAATTTTACTACTAGAAACAATATTTGAGCTACTTTTACAGGGCTATGCCCTCCTTCTCCCCTAAGAGTGGAGGCAGCACTACAAAATGCTATTCATAATGCTTCAAAGTCTACTGACAACTTTCACAAAGATGTGCCTTCCAGCATTCACATGTAGGAAGCATACTCCTCCCGGCAATAGTGTTGGGGGCAGAGCTTAATGGGAGGCGGTTAGGTCACACGGCCCCTATTTCTTGAAAGAATTAGTGTTATTATTGAGGGAATAGGTTCAGAAGGAGTGGGATTCTCATAAAAATGACCCTGGCCTCCCATTGCCCATTTCCTTTCTCTCTCTTTTGCCCCTCCACCTTCCATATGGGATAGTGTAAGATGGCCTTAGCAGGTAGACTTTCCAGCCTTCACAAGCATGAGCCAAATACATTTCTGCTCATTGTAAACCCCCCTGCCTCAGACATTTGGTTACACCCTAGAACAAGATGGACTAAGGCAGGCAACATTCCTCACAAGAAACTTAACATCAAGAATCATGCCTTACTGTTCTTTGTACTTCCAACATAACCCCTAGGCAGTGGTCAGCACTCAACACAGGTATAAATTAGTGAATTCACATTTGTGGCACACAATTGAATGAATGAATCTGATCTTCACAATGTCTTACAGTGATGGACTTTTTTTTTAAACTTTGGTCTTGTTTTGTGGATAAAGAAATTGAGACCTAAAGAAATAAAGATCAGAGTCCCACATTTGAGGTCTTGTCAAGTCTTGTGCTCCTTTCTCAGAGTGTAGCATACTACTGTAGACATTTTCTAGATCATTCTAGACAAGTACAAATCCCTTTGAATACTTCACTCCTTCCTGCATTCTCCTGCCCCCCAAATGTGCTTGTCTCTCCACAGCTAGCTTCTTTCGGTGTTCTGTTCCTCTCCTGTGGGCAGTATAGACATCCAGTGTCTTAGACCACACACGAGAGGCCTTCAAGGTTACAAACATGGAGTGTGAAGGGAGAAAAGGTAGCTCAAAGTCCAGCTCCATTAAGGAGTTTTAGACCTGAGGCAGCTTCTTAGGACTGAAGCCTTCCCATTTATAACCATAGCGCCAAACTCATGGGATTATTGCTATTGACCAGAGTAAGAAATGTAACATTAACTGTCAGCTCTTATTTTAGAAGTCTTCATAAATGGTTAAAGGAGGAAGAGAATGCATCCATCATCCATTCATCCACCATTCCTGAATGTCTGTGACAGGATACCCAATGTTAATTGCTTTACTTAAGATTCTTTTTAATTTTTGTTTATTTTATATATATTAATGTTTTGTTTGCATGTACATCTACACATTGGAAGAGGCACCAGATCCCTAGACAGTTGTGAACAGTTATGTGGATGCTGGAGTTGAACTCAGGACCTCTGGAAGAGCAACCAGTGCTCTTAGCCACTGAGCCATCTCTCTAGTCCCTAATTATTATTTTTAAACATTAGCATTTTCCTCATTTATTCTACAAAATGAGGCGATCACTAAAAACCCACCTCCCTGTTTTTTCTCGTATGCTTTTCTTATGCTGCTGTGTCAGCCTTCTAGTCTGTGCTCCCTTTATTGGGTCCCCCATCAGAAGGCTTCCTGAAAAAAATCAGGCTGTGAAGGAAGGGGACTGGGCCGAAAGGCCAGCTAGCCAGGACGCCCATGACTCCTGAAGCTACCACAATTCCCCACTTGTTACAATAGCATATTACACTTCGAGGTACAGAGAGATTGAAGGAAGCCTGAAAAGCTCCACAGGTAGGGAGGAAAGGTCACTGAGCATCCCATGCCTTGGCCCCTCCCTGCTTCCATCCTCAAATCAGCTCCACAAGGCAGGCATTTAGCAGCTTTACTCAGGGTTACAAAGCCATCTCAGGGTGGAGCCAGGAATAGAACCTAGGATGACATCTCAAGCCAAGGCCCTTTACAGACTACACCCAGTTTATTGGACCAATGTGTGACTGAAATGTTAGAAACATGGAAGGGAGCAGAGACCGGTGTGTAAATGCACTGTAACTCTGACTCCTTTTCCCCAGAAGCTGGAACCAAAGGGCAGGGCAAACAGTTCAGCTAACGTATAAAGCATGATTCAGCCATTAAAAACAAAATTAGAAGCTTCTGTGAGGCTCTGAGTTTGATTCCCAGCACTGCACAGGAAACAAAACACACAGGACCCCTTCTCGCTGACAGTAGGATGTGAGCGGACACAGGCAGGACTTGGTTTCCTATGCCTGCCTGTCAACCCAGATGGGACATGGTACAGGGTTTTCTAGCACGGTGTTATATTGTACCCTCTCTGCACCATATCTCACACACCTACCTTTCTCGCAGTATGGCTCTCCATCCTCCATGTGGAAGAGGCTGTTTCCAAAGGGCTTCTTGCAGGCTGCACAGACGAAGCAGGTAGTATGCCATGTCTGTCTCAGAGCGTGCATCACTTCCTGGAGGAAAGACTCTGAGTTCAGGACAGAAAGCTTCCCAGGAGAAAGGGAGCTGGGCTTGGCTTCTGCACCAGGCCTGGCTGCTGTCCAAGTAGCTAGGGAATGGGACAGGAGGGCTCACAAAGCAGGTGCTAGGGGTAGGAGGGGAGGGTGGAGAAGGGAGGTCCTGCTTACTAGGGCCGCTTTGTCAAAAGGACACTGGGAGTCAGGGCCAAAGACAGATGAGGGGTGAGGTCAGGCTGTGAAGCAAGAACTTGCTTTTCAGAGCCCCAGCACCATTTGAAGCTGGTGGCATATGTGTCTGTCATTGCTTGCCCAAGTTAATTAGCTCCCTGGTTCGGTAGTTAGTGGCAAACCGATTCCATTCTAGGATGAAGACAGACTTGTTCTCCCCTTTTTCAGCCATTTGTTGATAGATCTAGTGGGATCACAAAACTTTAGAGGAAGGGAGGAAGTCAGTCCAGTGGAAGAAAGGATGAGGGTCAAAGGAGAGGGATGCCGCCCACTTACCCCCATGATCTTGGTGTTGCATTTGGCACAGAGCGGGGCAAAAAACTGCTCATAGCACCGTTCACAGTAAACATTGTTCTGCTCCTCCACGAAGCATACATCTGCTAGGGAGTTCTTGCAGTAGGCACAATTGAACTCTTCTGGATGCCAAGAGCGGCCCATGGCTACCAAGAAAGGGCCCCTGGCATGGTAGGGAAAAGCATTAAAGTAAGCCTCAGAAATTAGAACCAAATATTTTACGAACTCCAGCAATATCATACATTTACCTAGTAATGCCCACTTTGAGAATTGCTCTAATGAAATAACATGCAATTCTGAGGAAGCTTCATGCAGAAGATGTCTATTGTCATGTCAGTAGCAATAACCAGAACCAGAAGATGGGGCATGGGGGTGGACACCAGCCCTTGGCAGGCAGTGTAAAGCCTGAATAGTCTACATAGTAAGTTCCAGGCTAGCCAGGGCTACACAGTGAGACTCTGTCATAAAGGAACACCACAATCCAAAACCTAACAAACAGAACCTGAAAGCAATCCAAACACCTACCACAGAGGCCTGAGTAAGCATCACAGAGTTCAGTGTTTCACAGGCTATTCTGAGAGCAATGATGACGGTAGCTAACCTTTATTAAACTCCTGTGTGCTAGATACTCCTCAAGAACAATCCTACACATGTTAATATATTTCATTCTCAAAACAATTCTTTGAAGGAGGAGCTATTATGATGGCTGATTATCAGTAAAGAAAACAGAGACACGGGAAGGCCAAGGAACTCATTCAAGGTCACAGGGCCAGGAAGCAGTAGACTACAAACATGAAGGTTCAGTTTCTGGTTAGTATTCAGAACACTGGAGCTATAAGAAAACCTCATGTTCTAACTTTTTCAGTTCTGTGTTTTCTAGTTCTTCTCTTCTCATTTTGTTTCTGTTTTGGGGACAGGAGCTTACTTTCTAGCCATGGCTGTCCTGGAAAGCTTTTAGAAGCACCTAGCTTTGAACTTACAAAAATACACCTGCTTCTGCCTCCCTAGTGCTGGGGACCAAAGGTGTGCACCACCATGCCTAGCCTCCGCTTGTTTCTTAAAGAGTTCATTTTTCACATATGGGAGCGCATACCACACATATACATAGACATACTGCATTTAACAATTATGGTCTGAGACCCCTGGCTTCTAAGGGACATTGCTTGCTTTAATTTCAGTGAAGTGTCTATCAGAGTCATAAGAGGCATGAGACTGTCTGTGGAAAGATCCAGAAGTAACTCTACAGGAAAGCTGGGTCAAAACCAGCACTGTCACTCAGCTTGCAATGTGCTCAATAAACCTACTGACAACAAGGCTGAAGATTCCCAGAACCCAGCCTTAGCCCAAGGGGGAGCTCATGGCATCAGGGACCAAGCTGGGAGCTTCACCCACTTACCTCATGGAATCCTCCCAACTCCCCAGGGATGTGGGTGTCACACAGGTATTGAAGCTAAAGCTCATAGAGGTGATCCAGAGAGACCCGAGGCTGCCCTGTGGGGCTGGCTTTTGCCTATATCTGCCCTCCTTTCTGCCACCCCTCCCATACCAAAGCCTGTACCTGATGACATTGTTGCAGTGGCCACAGAGGGGAGTCCGGCTGCTAGCTGGGAAGCGTTCAGCTCTCTGGAAGGTGCCCCTGGCAAGAGGGGTCACCTGTGGACCTGTTGGGTTGTAGGCTGGAGCGCCCCGGGGCAGGGTCTGCTTGCTGACAGAGGTAGTGCTCTTTCCAGGAGCAAACTTCTGAGAGAAGCTGTCATCAGTCACCCAGGGTGGGCGGCTGGTGGACTCTGCAGGGCCTCCACTGTAGGCTGCCGATGGTGCAGGGTTATAGTTCGGGGCAGGTGAGGGGGTATAAGCTGGTGCAGGGGATGGGGAATAGGTGGGTGCAGGTGAGGGGGTATAAGCAGGAGCAGGTGAGGGGGTATAGGGAGTTGGACTGTAATTGGCTCCTGGGGATGGGCTGTAGGTAGATGCAGGCACTGCAAGCCAAAAACACCCAAAGAATATGAGTTAGGAATTCACTCTCCCTCATCTGTCACCCCAGCCAGAGAACCATAAAAGATGAACTTAATATTGGAACAGTATAACTCCAATTGTTAAAGGAAAGTGGTGTGTGTGTGTGTGTGTGTATATGCGCGTGCCCACGCTGTGGAAAGAAACCAGGGACTCCAGCACACTAAGCAGAAATACTACTGCTAAGCTACAGAACCACATGCCTGAACTTCTTAGTGAACAAGATTTCCATTCTCAGCAAGAACCCAGATAAACAAGGGTGGCAGCAGAACCCTGGGGAGTTAGCACAGGCCCCAGAAGGGATGTAGCTATAAATATTACAGCTGTTCAGGGTGGCGTTCTGCCAAGCCTAGGCTGCCCTGGTCCTATAAAGGGTGGGAGCAAGGAGGGAGTGTCTGGGACAGGAAGTGGGTAAGAGCCTGGAGTGGAAGATGCTTTCAGTGATGCCCTGGATGGTGTCTGACTCCCAGACATCTTAATCAGAATGGGTTTTTTTTTTTTTTTTTTTTTTTTTTTTTTTTTTTTAACCTGTAACTAGTCTAGTCTTCAAGGGAGAGCAGAAGTCCAGGAAGCCCGGTTATCAGGTTCATGTTTCAAGTTTAGCTACCATGACTGTATTAGAAAACAGTTTGACTTGGTTTGTGCTGGGAAGAAATTCTGTCTTGATGTGAGAGGTCCCCACCTACCTTAGTCACTCAGTGAACCCTGGCAGAGGTGTGAGTGCCATGCCATGCAGCCCAGGGCTAGCTGCTCAGTTGGTCCCTGTCTGTCCCTGCCGGAACCCCTGCACTCCTATATCACCTTGGTGCAAACAGAGAGACACCCTAGAGATTACCATTAGGGACAAGACTGTGCTGCACTTCCCCTGAAACCTCTTACTTGCCTTCACTGAGGGTGGAGAAACTGAGTTCATCACACAGAAGGGACATCACATTTGCTAACACAAAGCACTCTGCCAGGGCTCTCAGAACCCAAGATGTTGCTGTTGTGATCCCCACAGCAGAGACAGCTGAATAGATCCTGCTGTGTGTCCTGAGCTCATGGTCCAGGCAGTTCTCTGACTATAGCAAAGGTGGTTCTAGAAGCCTCACCTCTGCTCCCAGTGTCTATCTTACCCATCAGGGAGCATTTCATGATAGCCTCCCTGCCCACATCCAAGCCAGCCCTGGCTGGGATGGATTGTACTGAAACAGCTCTCTCTGGATCATAGCTGGTCTCAGAACCATGGCCCTGTCTGGTCTCTTTTTCCCATCTGGTACCCTGAGCCATCTTGGGCAGCTCCAGCTCTATGCCTTTTATTCCCAGACGACTGGCACTTTAGATCTGGGAAGTGCAGAGCGCTGCATCCCCTTGCTAAAGGATGGCTAGGGCTGTGACTATAGTAATAGCATGTAAAGCCTCCCACAGCCCTGCCCCAGAGCCATCTTGGGAGTGATACTGTCTCCCAAAGGTAGATTCTCCACCTGGAATCTTCCTCCCATTTACAATGTGGGTGAGACACATAGCAGGTTGGGCAACTGAGTCAGATTCTGCATTATTCCCTTTTACACTGGAGGGCAAAAAGAGCTCAGAGGAAGCAGCAGAGCAAGACTCCAAACCTTCCTGAACTTCAAGCTGCCCACAAATGCAATTTCCATCGGTGTATAACATCAAGGAGAAGTCACTTTCAACCCCCAGAGGAGACTAGTGCTCTGCAAGGAAGCATGGTCATCAAAAGCCCTAATCTGAGGCTTGGGACTCAGTGGTTAGAGCACTTGCCTAGCATCTTTAAGACTCTGGGCTCCATGGTAGCACCCCTCCTTCAGAAGAGCCCCGGTTTCACACTCCTAAGACTTTCTAGCTGTGAATCCTTGGGTAAATAAACTCCTTAACCTCTCTGGGCCAGTTTCTTTGTCTAAAAGTGGTATTGGAATTATTGTAAGGATTAGGGAAAATAAGAAATGTAGGGCTTAATTTAGTACCTGATTTTGTGTGTGTGTGTGTGTGTGTGTGTGTGTGTATGTGTGTGTGTGTGCACGCACGCGCAAATGTGACTGAGAATAGGACAGTAACATCTGAATTTCAAGATTGGAATGTACTATAGGGCTCATCTCAAGGCCTTCTAGTTGTCATGTGGAAAGCCCTGAGCAGGTGTACTGGAGGATGGTAGTGGGGAGGGAGGTGTGATTCTCTGAAGTCAGATAGACAGGAATTGAACCTATTTTCTGGTGATGGAATGAATGATGTCCTGCCTACCTCATGGGGTGTGGTGCGAACCTAGAGGAGTGACATTGCACATGAATTTTGTAGAGTTGTAAGTCCCAAACTCAAGGTGTTGCCACCCACTTCAACAGTGTTACCTTTCCTCATAGTGTCCAGAGGGTCTCAAAATGCTAGGGACAAGGGTGACTTTAGGGGTACTGTTAGAGAAAGAGAATGGGGAGAGGCTATCCCACAGAATTTCAAAGCAGCTTCATCGCTCTTTTTGCATACTTTCAGGTTCTATACGAGTTATGCCTTCCTTTTTCTTTGCTTTTCATTTCATTTGTTCTATCCATCTTTTGCTTCTTCCTTGTTTTATAAACCACAGTCCTCTGATAAAAGTGATTATAAGCAGATGGCGGTGGCATGCCTTAATCCCAGCTCTCAGGGAGGCAGAGGCAGGTCCATTTCTATGAGTTCAAGGCCAGCCTGGTCTACAGAGTGAGAAACCCTGTCTCAAAAAAAAAAAAAAAGAAAAAGAAAAACAGAAGTGATTATGGTATGAGCGTTATTTTTTGCTTGATTTTTTTTTCCTTTTCGTTCCTTCTGTCTTGTTTGTTTCTTTGTCTAGCCCTGATTGTCCTGGAACTCAGAGATCAATTTGCCTCTGCTTCCCAATTATTGGGAAGCACCAGTACAAGCACCATTACATCCGTCCAAGCCTTTTGTATTTTTTTTCTTACATAGAGCCCAGTCTAGCCTCAAAATTTCAGTGTGCCTCAGCCTCCTGAGTGCTGAATTACAGGCATGTGCTCCTACCCCAGTTCTAAAAGGGATTATGAGCAAAAGCCCTATGAGGTCCACACTATGGTCTTACATGGTCTCTAAGTACCTGAAATGTTGGTAGTCTAAATTGAGGTGTGTTATTAAGTGTTACAAATTTGGAGATTTAATGAAATAATATAAATCATCTCAGTAACAATTAGCTTATGCTGATTATATGTTAAACAGTATTTGTTTATTTCTTTATTAAATATGAGCAGATGCTTGCCTGCATGTATGTCTCCATACCACTTGCATGCCTGGTACCTGGGGAAGCCTAAAGAGGGTGCACATCCTCTGGAACTGGAGTTATAGGTGGTTAGGAGCTGGTTGTGGGTCCTATGGAAGAACAGCTAGTGCTCTTGACCAACGGTCCACCGGTCTCGGTATGTTATCCAGACTGATCTCATGACCTTCCTGTCTCAGTTTCCCAGATAGCTAGTACATACCAGTACAGTGTTCAGCTCTAAAACATTTTTAAATATACTGAGCTACATCTGGAAAGATCCCCAGTAGTTAAGAGCTGTACTGCTCTTATAGAAGACTGGAAATGGATTCCCAAAGCTAGGGCCTTACAGCTCCTAACTACCTTAAATTCAAGCTTCTTCAGGCCTGTGTAGGCACCTGCACTCAAGTGCATATAACCACACACAGACACATACATATACATACATACATACATACATACATACATACATACATACAAGCAGTTAAAGGGGGGTGCTGAAGGTGTGGTTCTGGAGAGATGACTCAGCAGTTAAGAGCACTGGCTACTCTTCTGGAGGACCTGGGTTCAATTCCCAGTACTCACATGGCAGCTCACAACTATCTGAACTCCAGTTCCAGGGGATCCAACACCCTCACATGAAGGCAAAACAACTATGCACATAAAATAAATTACACACACACACACACACACACACACACATACACACACACATGCCAGGTGTTGTGGCACATACCTTTAATCCCAGCATTAGGAAGTAGAGGTAGGTGGATCTTTGAATCTAGGCTAGCCTGGCCTACAGAGAGTGTTCCAAAACAATCAGGGCTACATAGAAAAACCGTGTCCCGGAAAAAAACAAAACAAAACAAAAGCCCACAACAAAACAAAACAACAATTTCCTGACAATTTCATATGCTGAGCTAAATAAAATGTATTTAAATCAGTTTCACCCGCTTTCTTTTTAAAAATGTGTTCCTCTTGGATGGCTGCCAAGGCTGTTGGCTTCTACAGGGATGCACAGGATTTTGTTTAACTGTCTATGAGAAGGCAAAATATTTGTAGGTCAACTTTATAGACAACTTGGAGAGCTTAAGCGACCACTCAAGGTCAGCCAGCTTGCAAGCTTCCGACCTGAAACATACTCCCCACTTGACTCCAGATCCCTCTAAACCACTCGGAATGCATAAATAGGCTTCCGCGTGCCCCTTCCAAGTAAACCCCGCCTTCGCCCACCTTTCTGCCTCCCCGTTCAAGCACCCCCTCTGCAGGGTGGACATTCTCTTCCTCCCATCCGAGTCCTTCGGACTCCCTGAACCTCCTTTGTTTTCCAAACCCCAGCACCAGGTTTCGGAGAGGAAGGCTGGAATCCGGAGCAGGGTTAGCTACCTCCTTCCCACTGGTGCTACGCAGCCAGAGGAGGACTTTCCGCTTGGAGCGGATGGCTCGCCTGCCTGGCAGATCCATGGGGAGGGAGCGCAGGGGTCCCCCCATCTTGCCTGCTTCTCCCCTCCACCGCCCCCAATGCCAGAAGAGGCCTGATATCCCACCCCGGAGCCCCGGGCTGTTGCTATTTCTACGTGACGGAATTAAGCCGGTTCAAATTAGAAGGTGATATTTCATCCCTAATTGGCACGTTCAAAGGGCTCCTATCGCACTCGGCGGCCCGGGACTGTGTAATTAAACAAGGTGATCTGAGTCACTCCGGCCCGGGCTCTGTCCTCAGCGAGCGCCCGGGTCGCCGCCCGGCCCGCGGGCCAACGTGGCCGTCCCCGGGCCCACAGTGTCCTCCGCCCACTGGTCAAGCAGGCCCGGGCCCCAGGTGTTCTGGGGAGCGGACGCCCAGCCCCGGCGCCGGAGATAAGATCCCAGCTCGAACGCCAGCCGGAAGCTGCGGCCGGGGACTGGCCGCAAGCAGGCTGCTAGTACTCAGCGGTACCCTGGTCCACGAAGCCCGGCAGCGGAGCTGGGCGCGGACACGCACTGCTCCCGGGGCCTGGCAGACCGTCAGCCGCCCCCGGAGCCCGGCTTCGGGTGGAGGCAGGCCTCTCCTCTGCTCCAGGCAGCAATGAGTTAACGTCTGCACCGCATGGGAACAGCGGAGAGGCCTGGGCTCCTGCACGTCTGGCCCGCCTAGGCCGGAGCTGGAGGAGCAGCAGCAAAGCCGCGCCGGGCCGCCCCCTGGCGGGCCTGCGGAGGACCGGCCAGAGAAGGTGTCGGAAGCCCGGGGCGGTGCTGCCTGGAAAGAAAGATCTTCCTTGTGCAAGCACAAGGCCTCACCTGCATCTGACACGACTCCATCCTCCTTCTGCAAGCTACTTCCTGTGTGTCCAGCCTGCCCCTGGGAGTTTTCTCTGTCTCCTAAATACATTTGTACCGATCCCCTTCCAAAATGCCACTTCAGCCTGTGGCGATTTTGACCTCCGAACTTCCTTTCCTTGGCCCAGGGATGGCATCAAGCTGGAGACTTCATTTCATCTGCAGAGACCTCTCCTATCTTACTCAAATGAGAAAGTTCAGGTCTCAGAGGTGAGGTAGTTTGCCTATTACTTATGGCAGGCTGTGTGTTCCTCCCAAGCTAAAATAAGTTGCTGTCCACACAATTCTGCTGTTAGTGAGCTTTATACAGCAGGGGACTGATAATGTTTCCTCTGCCCAACTCAACAAGTGTGTGCTTCCCCAAGCAAGGCCCCCCCCCCGAGGAAAACTTCCTAGGGTCTTGCTCATGCCTTAACAGTACGGCTTTGTAGGCTAGACTTTACATGTGCTATATTTTACCTCAAGGCTACTTGGCCAGTCCACACTTGTAGAACACAAGTCCTTCTACCTTGAAATGACCCATGCCTTTCCTAAACGTCTGTTACTCCCTGCATCAGTTTACCATAAACGGTATGTGCATGGGGTGTGTGTGTGTGTGCTGTGTGCATGGGGTGACGGGAAAGGACATTTGGGAAATGACACCTTTCCTTCAATTTTACTTTGAACTGAAAACTGTTCTTTAAAAAGTCTATTAAAACCTGGGTGTGGTGGCACATGTTTATAATCCCAGTACTTGGGAGGTCCAGGCAGGAGGATCAACAGCCAGCCTGGGCTACATGAACCACCCTGCCAACAAACAAAAATGAAAATTTTTATGTGTGCTGGGTGGTGGTGGCACACGCCTTTAGACTCAGTACTTGGGAGGCAGAGGCAGATGGATATCTGAGTTGGAGGTCACTCTGATCTACAGAGTGAGTTCCAGGACTGTCAGGGCTACATAGAGAGACCCTGTCTCAAAAGCAAAGCAAATTACATGTGTATAATAATTTTGAGGAGATAAAAACATTTGTATTTTAATAGTAAATGCAAATCATCATTGCTTTTTATAAATTCAAGATAACTATAACTATATGCTGAAAGTATAATGTTTTATTCTTGTTTTTGTTTTTCAAGACAGGGTCTGTTTCTGTAGCTCTAGCTGTCCTAGAACTCACTCTGTAGACCAGGCTGGCCTTGAACTCACAGGGATCTACCTGCCTCTGCCTCCTGAGTGCTGGGATTGAAGGGGTGTGCCACCACTGCCTGGCTATGAAGGTATAATGTTTAAGTGGAAATTTTGTGCCCACCTACAATCCTATGTTGTCCACCCATGGAATGAACACCATGTGATCATTATAAGACTACTTAAGGATCATTCACTGTGTGTGTACAGCTGCCAGAGTACAGAATACAAGCCTGCATGTGTGTGTGTGTGTGTGTGTGTGTGTGTGTGTGTGTGTGTGTAAACTCAGAGTCTTCACACATGCTAGGCACACACTCTACCACCAAGTTGACACCGCTAGACCTTGTCTTTTTCTACACCTTTGTTGGATGTCTACTCATGGCAAGCTCAAGTCAGGCATACACAAAAAGAAAATCTGGCACAGCCCTGCCCTCCTAAAGTTCAAGGTCAGAAACCAACAGGAAGAAAAACAGTGACTAGACTCAGGGCTTGGATGTCAAGGACCTTCCTATAGGCAGAGCCAGAGTACATGGGACCTTCCTCTAACCTGAAACAAAACAAAACAAAACAAAACAAAAAAACCAGAATGCTTTTGGGTTCTTGGAGCAATGGCTGACAGGAAAGTGGGCCATGCACCAGTCTGAGAACTACCTTGGGCTGACTCTGCCTGAGAAATTAGAAGACATAGGCTACCTCTTGGCACTGTAAGAAAACTCTAGGCACTGACTGGAAGGGGCCAGAGTCAGGACTGCAACCAATGAGTTCTGTCTTGGGTCCACTATGAGTAGACCCTCTACTGCTATGTCACATGCGCCCCAGCTATCCTGTGTCACCTGAGGAAACCACACACTAGACTGGTTGAGCAGCTTGCTCAAAGGACAAAATGACACAGTAAGCTGGCCTAAAGCCTGGGGCTTTTTTGTTATAGTTTCTTGTCTTCCGGTTTGAGGTCAACCTAGATTCTTGGAGAAACAGCTTTGTACTCTGCCACCCTGCTCTTCCACCCCAGCCCTCTTTTCTCTCAACTTAGTCTGGAAAAATTCAGCCATAACTGTCCTTTCCCTAAGAGCTATATGGCTCCAGCCCTGCCTTCCAAGGTCAAACCTTGAAGCCTCCCTAAGATTCTACCCTATAACCAGGAGAGGGAAATGGGAACTAAGCCTGTGTCTTCTGCGTCTTGGTGCAGATGACCCTTTGAACCCCTGCCTTCACTTCCCTGTGACTCTCACCTGGCTGGTAGACAGAAGGCCGGATGCTCGCAGTGGTTACCACCCTGGGCTTGGGTGCAGGGGCAGCTTGACCCTCACTGTAGCTGGTGTGGGCAGAGGGTGCTGGAGAAGTGGCTGCCGCAGGGCTGTAGGCAGAGGCTTGTGGCCTGAAACCAAGATAGGAGAGTTATGACAAGAACCGTCCGCTCTGGTACCTAAAGCCATGGCAGGTTTGCTGTCTGATCTCTAGGCAGGACCATGATAGAAACACCCATTGGATTGTTTCCAGAGTCTACAAAGACGCCAAAGGTTCTTAGAGGGGAGCAAGCTAGTCCCTGTGGCTAGTACTTCTGCCTTGGGAAAAAGGGAGGGAAGGTACCAGCCAGGCAAAAGAACACAATGAGAACGCGTCATCCGCAGAGGGAATTGTAGTGGTAGGACTGGGGACCACGGCAAAGGCCCAAGATAGTCACAGCTACTCTACTTTGTGGGACACTCTGGCCACCTGGTCTCCTCATCTCTTTTATGTTGCTGCTGGAGGAAGAAATTAGTCTCATGTTTTGGGGGCAAAAAAAAAAAAAATGTTCATGGGAAGGAGTGAGGAGGCCCACCAGCAAACCACTGTAGACAATCCCCATTGCTTCCTCCCATTGGCTCAGCTGTCAAGGTCCTCGAGCAAGCAGCCTTTCCCCACATGTGGCTCAAGGACAATGGTAGCAAGGAGGTGTGTGGAAAGTGTCCCAGTTCTTTGCCCTCAGGAAATGCTGGACTTGGCCTCTCTCTTGGGGGAGCTGACAGCTCCAGGAACTTCCAGAGTCCAACAGCTATTTAATCTTGTCTGATGCACTATTTCCCATCTCATTTGTTTGTGAAACCATTTTTCTTCATCTCAGATTAACGAATATCTTTCTCTTCTTACATGTTATATATCCTAAGGGAGACACTTGACTTTATGCAGCAAATGGGTCAGTGCATTGGCCGGGTGCTGGAGAACTATACCCCTGGCCTTTAGCAACTCTCTTTCTTCCATCTCTTTCCTATGGCCCACTGGACCTGGGCCAATTGTAAGATGAAGGATTGCCTTCTTGTCTTGGTCTCTGGAAGGGATGGCCCTGGTGTAACAACCTGCCACCAATAACCTAAGTGGATTCAGGGCAGTCTGCAAACTGTCCCAGGCAAGGCAAAGGTAATCTTCAGAGCTGGCTTCCCAGACTTGGGGGCTGGGCATCCTTCGCTTCCCACCACATGGGTTAAGGCTTCCCTTGCCCTTCTGTGTCTGAATCCCCGTGCTAAGAGCAGAGGAGTAAGCACATTGGTGGAGAGGAAGACACCATATGCAAAGAGTGCCCAGCTTCTGTGTGTGTGGGTGGGGCTACAGGTCAGTGGGTCATGGCCAGAAGCTGAAGACATCTGGTGAAGGGCCAAAGTACACATCCAATGAGCAACTCTAGCTCCAGCTCCTTTTGAACCCACATGCAAGGAAGGGAGGTATCTGAGCTCAGAGTGCACCCTCTGACCCCTCCTGGTGTAGCCTAATGCCCTGTGGGATAGTCCTCTGCTCTCTTGGTAAGGTAAGGAAAAGAAAGAATTCACCCTCATGGGGGTCCTGAGGCCATCGGCAGTGAGTGCCCACACGTGGAGAACTGGAGCCTGGAGCTGGAGTTTGTCCTTCAGTGAGAGGCAGGGTAAGGGCTAGACTGCTCAGCACTTCTTTTTCCCTATCTATGCAAATTGGGAGGCGTCCCCCCCACAGCAGGGGCATTTCTCATCTTTCATCAGACTCTAACAAGAAGGGGGTCTGCAGGGGAACCAGGGGAGGCAGTTTGCTTAAGCCTGTTGTGGGAAATTGGGACAGAACACTCTGGAAGCCAGGATCAGGCTCACCCTAGTGATTGAATTGGGCTGGAGAAAGGTTGGTCTTGGTGCCATATGGCATGCTGGGAAGCTGCCTCAGGCTGCACCATGACCCGATACACTCCGACCCAAAGAGGCATGTTTTCCCTGGGGGCTTGGAAATCTGGGTCCTGACTGAAAACAACAACTGAGCAGTTCCTGGAAGCCTGGAGAAACAACTGGACCAGCCCTGCTGTTGTAGCAGCTGGCCATGCTGGAGTGACCCACCCTCTTCCCTACAGGCCCTCTTCCTTTGGCCTCTGTTTTGGTAGGTGCCCAGGAAGGCTGAGATGCAGGAATTCAACGCATTTACTTTAAGTGTTTCATGTGTGCGAAGTGTTTTATGGGCAAATCTTTCCAGTAATGACCTCGATATACATGTACTTTAGACAGTTTAACTGATGAGGACATAGGGTCAGAGGTTAAATCACTTTCTCAAGGTTTCAAACAGTAAAGCTCTGCACTGAGAGAGAGAGTTAAATCCTATTGCTTTAGGGAACATCTAAAGTTAGAACGCTTCTACATCAAGAGAAGAAAGGATAAGGCAAGTTAGTAGCTAGGTTACCTGACCTGACTAGTTCAACATTCCCACCTCCAAGGAGCCTTCCTTGATTTCTTCCAGCCCATGGGGATGACTATCATCTTCCCTTTCTGAGTTCTAAGGACAGAGACTGTGTATGTGTGACGTGTTACTCGTGTTCACATGCATACCCACATGTATGTGTGACACGATCACTAGGGATGTTCCCCTGAGGGAGCAGAGTGACAACAAAACTCTCTCATTAATCATGGCTGGTGTACCCCACAAAATACATCCTGACTTCCCCTTCACACTATGCACCAGGCAGTACCAGCATTGGCTTCCTTGGAAACATATCAGGGACCTAACTATTTGGACCTAGCTGCCCACAAAGAGACTTAGGGTGGGTCCTTTCTTGCCACCTTTTCCCAATGTTAGGTCTGGCATCTGTGGACCAGTTACCTGGGACTCTCCACAGGGCTTGAGGCAGGACCTGCAGCAGAGGCAGTGGCAGCATGGGCAGCAGCAGTTGTGGCCAGGGTTGGCGAGGCCGCAATGGGAGAGGCAGCAGCGGGCGGCTGGGCAGAAGCAGGCAGCAGCGGGGGAGTGGCCTGGCTGGTGCACACTGGAGCATGCTCAATAGGGGTGCTGATGAGGTGGGATCAAAAAGACAACAGGTCATGTGGGCCCCAGGTCTGGTGAGATCCTCTACATGGTGTGGGGTGGGAGGGGGTGGGTGGAACGCGCCATCTGTTCTACACACAGAGCAGGACCCAGGTGTGAGGACACAACCTCAGGTGCTGGGAAAGAGCACCCCTTGAATCCCAGGAGGGCATGAGCAGACCTCAGGGAGGGGCCTGGCAGCTTGATCTTGGAGGGATGTTTACCCCTCAGGTTTTTGGTACTTTCTGGTTTTCCTTTCTCAGGAAACTACAATGCAGTGGCAAAGGACATCTAGTTACCTCCCTACCCAGTCTGCCTTAGCCTTTTCCCTACTGTTTGCACGTTCAGTCAGGGGCATAAATTACGTCTGGGGAAAGATGCTATCCATAGTGTCCCCCTCAAAAGATATTTGAGTGTGAAAGTCCTAGACTCTAGAGCCATGAGAATGTGGGTTTTTAGCCCAAGGCACCGATAGTACATCCAACTGAAGAAGGACAGACATTACCATGGAAAGAAGACCAAAGTTACCTAGACCACTGTGGTCAAGGACAGTTCAGGGATACAGAAATTTGTGCCCCCTTTCATGACATACTCTGAGGAGTGGCAGGACCTGTGAGGAGGGCACAGGTAGACCCTACTGAGCTCATAGGTCTTCATGTCACCAGGTAGCCCAGGTGTGGTACACATTCAAGAATGACATGAACATGGTTCTAAGCATAAGTAGACTGAAAGCTCTTTCTACCTGAAGTAGAGAAGCAGCCACTCTGCCTGTGTGGAGCAGTGTGATCAGGTAGGATGGACAAGATATGCACCAGCCCATACTAAGTACAGGTAGACCAGATGCCCACATGCCTCCACCTGAACGCCTGAGTGTTCTGTAAGCACAGACTGTTCCTAGAACCCCTCTAAAACAGATCAGTCAGAGTTGTGGATTGATAGGATAAGTTCTGCTTCCTCTGAATGGGACAGACAATGAAAATTCAATTATAGGCCTGGGGAGATGTCTCAGTCAGTAAAATGCTTGCTGCTTAGCCAGGCAGTGGTAACTTATGCCTTTAATCCCAGCACTTAGGAGGCAGAGGCAGGAGGAGCTCTGTGAGTTTGAGGCCAGCCTGGTCTACAAAGCAAGTTCCAGGATGGCCAGGATCGTCTCACAGAGAAACCCTGTCTCAAAAAACAAAACAAAACAAAATGCTTGCTGCTTAAGCACAAGGTCTTGAATTCAGATTCCTAGCATCCACATAAGAAATAAAACGTGAGGTGCAGCAGCCTGTAATTCTAGCACTGGGAAAATTAAGACAAGAGAATCTCTGGTACTTGCTAGCCAGCTGATCTTCAGGTTCAGGTTCAGTGGGTGACCATGTCTCAAAAACTAAAGTAGACAGCAGTTGAGGAAGACACTTGATACTGACCTCTGACTTCCAGACATATGCACAGAAATATGTATGTGTACCCCTTCCCCAAGAAGCTCTCCCTACAACCCCGACCCTCCCATACAAATCATGAGAAAGCAGAGACATACACTTCCTGCCCTGCCCCTCCCCCTCTTTCTAAAGGGTTGGTCTCTAACTCCTGCTTCAGCTTCTCTGTGAATTGGGACCACAGGAAAGTACCACCATCCCCAGCTCATTCTTAGATCTTTGATTGGCATTTCTTTTTGCAACAGTAGTAACAGAACAAATGAAATTCCTAAAAGTTGCAATAGCTGCCCCAGAACCATGCCATTTATTTACTCACTCTATACTATGTTTCCATCATTATCCCTTTAATGTCTCACAACAGCCCTCTCAATGGGGTCTAATCAGCCCTATTTAATAAGTGAGGAAATGGAAACCGAATTCATGTCCTCAAGGCTCTGGAACTTACCCATGGGAACAAAAATGACTGATGGTCATTTTGATTTGAAGCCTTAACCAGTATCTCAGAGAGGTAGAAAGAGACCTCTTCTTGTGCTCAGCCAAGTAGAATCTGCCTCCCATCAAAGCCGGATTCTTACTGGACCCAAGTAACATGTCACCAATTCCCTCTTCCAAGCACTCTACAGTGCCAGTGTTAGCCGGTTCTTTCCCCTTATCCTCCCAACCTCCCTGG